CCCTTGGAAATCCAGGAGCACGTTGCTGGTACCTGGAGTTTTACTCACTTCAGTTCCAGTTCTTGTTGTTTCTCTTGCCTGGAGCTTCTGCTTACACAAACCAGAGAATTTCCAAAGCTGCATTGGGCAGGATGAAATATTTCTGTGAGCACTGGAATTTCTGAAGTTTTATCTCCAGCGTTTTGTCATGCTCAGCTGCCTGTGGTTTAATAAGGTGGAGTTCTGATCTGAGGGTTTTTCCTGGGGTTCAGGCATCCATGAACTCTTCCTCCCAAATGGATTTGCTGGGATAGATGATCCAAGTGGTTCCAACTCCCCCTCAGTGCCAGCAGGACTTCTGGGATTTTCTTTTCTATCCAGCCACTTCTTTTCCCCCAAACTCTAGGGATTTAGGCTTGGATATCACCTGAGGCAAGAGCTGATGCCCAACAAATCCACGAGATAAAACTTGAGGAACTTAATGGAGCTGGGTTAAAATAAGTTTGTGGGTGGGATCTAAAAACTTCTTTGCAGAAGTGGGGGAAAAAAACATAATTACACATGGGAGAGTTGGGAATGTTGTTTTTTATGTCTCTCATATACCTGAGGTTTTCCATGGTTCTAAAGGAAAATTATGGCTTAAGGATTTTAGTTTCTAGAAGCCAACAAGCAGCCTGCACTTGTTTGCCTGAGGACTTGGAAAAAGCCTGTGGACAATTGTAAAAACAGCATTCCCTTAGTGAGGATAAGTAAAATAAAGGGGGAAAAATAAACCAAATAACTGGATTTAAAAAAAAAAAAATGGTTAAGAGAAGGAGAACATCCTCACAACATTTTACCTGCCTTTGAAGAGCAACGTTTCACACCTGCTCTGCTTTCCTTCAGGGACTGCATTACCAGAGGTTCTGTGGCTTTGACATTGGAAAAGCAGCAGTATTTTTCCACTTAACTTAATCTTAGCTATTATTTTTTCTGCAGCAGCAGAACACAGCCCAACGTGGGAAATGTCAGGAGGCAAAAAAACAATAAGGAGACATTTGAATCATATCTCTGCCTTGATTCCCAGCATTGAGCCAGGCAACTTCTTCTCCTGCCCCAGGAGTTTCTTCTTATTCACAGAGACAAAAAGAATTGATGGCAGCTACGTGCTGGGAAGAGAAACTGTTGCTGTGCAGAAAATCCAAAAAACAACCTCAACCAGCTTTAGTTCACACTTGTTTAATGGTAAATAAGAATAATGAGGTCATCCAGATGTGTGGAGCCAAATCCTGATGTTTCAGCACACTTTTACTCAATTCTTAACTCAGGCAGTTTGGGAAATCTTGGTAAAGCTTCATAAGAAATCCAGAATTATTTGTAAGAAGAGGGTGGCTGGAACCTGATTCTTTACCCATGCACCAATTTCAGTTTAATGCAGCTGATGTGGGGGTGACCAGCTCTGTGAGAAGGGTAAAATAGATTTTATTAAACTGACTGAGAGATGCCAACAAGCTTAGGCTCACTTTTTACAGGCAGAATTTCTCCTACAGCTTAGATGGAAATTCTGGCCTTCACTCTGCTCTCATCTACACTGCTGGAAGTCAAAGGGGATTTAATTATAATCAATATAAAGGCTTTACACACAAGGTAATTACACCTGGAAGATGTTGGTGTGAGCCACCCTTTGGTCTGACATTTTCACTAATGTTTGAAACGAAATAACGAAGCACTTGTGGTATTTTTTTTTTTTCAAATGCTAAAGCTGTGGTTGAGAGACCCCGTGTGTACATCAGCCCTAAATCTCTTAGGTTTAGGAATTCCCAAGAATTCCCAGGAAACACTTAGAAAATATCAGGGGATAACACTTAGAAAATATCAAGGGATAAATTGTGGAAAGGGATTGCAGGTAAAATTACCTCAGGAAAGGAGAGAAGCAATCCCTTGGTGTCACACAAGTCATATGGGGAACAGAACTGTGGCCAGTGGAATTTGTAAAACACTTCCCAAGGGAATAAACCATATTTCCCAAAGAACTGCTCTGCCTGTGCCTCCTCAGAATTCTCTTTGGCACAACTCTGCTCTAGGTGGTGTTCCCTTGGGAAACTGGCCCAGCTGATGAGGAATAGCTCAGTACAAGCTCACCCCTCCTTTCCTTTTTTTATTATTGAAGGGAGGATGGATGGGGAGGAGGAGTGAAACCATCTGTGATTCCCAGTCTCTTCTGGATGGGGGGGACCCTGTACTGAGCCAACCTGATCTCTATTGACAAGCTGGGACAGGGATTCATCCATCATCATGAACATTTTGTTTGTCACTTTGGATTTTCGTTGGTCTGAGTAATCCAGGAACGGCCCATTTTATTAGGTACACCTCAGAGTACTAAAATACTGTGTGAAAGGAATGCGAAAAAGAAAAAAGAGTTTTTCCTGTTTTCCCTTCCATCAGTTTTCAGACTGAGACCCTTTTTTTGTGAATTTTATAAGGAAAAATGATGCTCTCATGACCCTTCAGGCTCGTTGTGTCATACACTAATAATCAAGAGAGATCTCAGCGTTCATGTGCTGTATCAGCCAGGCCCCTGTTGATTTCTCCCCTTTCATTTAAAGAAAACATAAATTCCCACCTGTGGCTGTGCTGGGGTAAGGAGTGAAGGGAAAGGGCTGGTCAATGAAACCAGGCAGTGATTTAGCAATTAGAGCCCAGGATTGAAAGCCAGCCAGGTCACAGTTCTGAGGGAGATTTGCTGTTGTTTGTCCTGATGAAGTTCCTCCTAAATGAGGTGATTATTGCAGCTGTCAGGAATGAAAAGGTGGGACACATCGATTTCACCCTCACTGCAGGCTCCGGGCTGTGCTGCTCCAGAGCAGTCGATGGGAATTGCCAATTAACAAAAAACAATATTGGCAAGTTGGCAGTTTGAGGAAAAACTCCCTCCAGCCAGTGCACAAACCTCCTGCCATTCAAATCACCTTCCTTGGGCAAAGGCATTGGCAAACCTGCTCAGAAAAACGTGGAAAATGAGATTTTTATTTTGGCATAGTTGAATAGGAAATTGTGGAGCTGAGAGCTCGTCTGCACAGGGGAAATGTAGCAGAACAGCTACACAGGAGCACGCTGAAGTGCACACCCTACCTGGAGATAAAAATCACTTTACTTTGGAGTAATTATTCTGTTCTGAAAACACATTGCTTATTCAGGAATAAAGCATCTTTTATTTCAGAATTCAAGTGCCCATGCTCTTACTCTGCCCTTCTGCTAATGATCATAGATACAGCTGTTGATTATAATAAATAGAGGCTGTTCCACAACAGCTACAGTGGAACTCTTCCCCTTGTAAATAAGGAATTATCAAGCTTCCAATTACCTCGTGTTTCAAATACAGCTTGTGTAAATGGGTACTCTTGACTCACCTACAGAATCTCAGCAATTTCCATTCAATTAAATCCTTAAGATGCAGCTTCGGGCAGAAAAAACTCCTCTGGAAGAGCAGTGTGTCTGACATGATGGAGCAAATCCGGTTTAGAAAACACCCAGAAGCTCCAAGTGATGCAAATGATGGTTGTTCCTGCCTTTCCTAAGGAATTCTGCCTCTGCAACAACAATCCTGGCCTTTGCATGGTGTTTTTAACAAAAGCTCTCAAAGGATGTGAGTGGAAAAGTGTCCTTATCTGTCACCTAGTGATGCCTTGGGTTTTAGCTTTTTTCAGAATCTCTGTGTGTAACTCTGAAACTTCATGTTAGGTGTTACTGAGTTCTCTTCACAGGCTAGTGACAAAACAATTCCTTTCTAGCTAGAGAAATTTTTGATACCCAAAAATCACAAACAGCAGCGAGGAAAAGGGGGCTGAGACTTCATAACCTGGGGCTGTGCTTGGACAATTGACCCCAATGTGTAGATGAACCAAAACTTATCAAAGTGTAAAAAACATGACCAGGATCCACCTTGGATTTGGTTTGGGTGTAGCCCCATCCAGGATTTTGCACTGCCCAAGGTGGATCCTTTCAATAAATTCCTATTTTATTCCTTTTGCTCTGTCTGTCTCTGTTCCAGGCCAGCCTTTCCAGGCAATATTAGAAATGGGGAAAGTCAGGCAGCTCTTGGGACAGGTTTATTTGATGTTTGGATTTCCAGCCCTGCACAGGGTGACATGCACCTTTCCTTGTTTTTTCCAAAGGTGATTTTTCAAGGGATGGAAGCATGTCCATGGTAAAGCAAGGGCTGTGGGCAGGGAGTTTGGTACCCAGTGCTTTGGAATCAGAGTGGGATCAGGGAATATCCTGTGTTGGAAGAGATCTCCACAGTGAGTTTTGGGTATCAGAGCATTTTTGAGGCTGTGGATAGATTCCAATCCATCACCTCCATCTGCTCCAAACCCACAATTCCTGTGCCAAACACTCAGGTTTGTTTTCAGAGCTCACTGTGAGGACCACCTGGGTTGGCTCATTGCTCACCTCACTGCTTTCCCCACGGAAAACTGGGGAAAATAATTTTTAATAACATTATAGCTTAAATACATCAAATTAAGGGAAGCATCAGCAACTCATGTGGTTATTTATGATCATATTCTTTCAGGCTGTGACACACTGTGAGTATTTAACATTACTAATTAATCGAACATGTTAATTTAAGTACTTAACGCACTTTACCCGCTTTTAACTCTATAAATATTTAAATTCCTCACTGTTCAACCAACTCCATGAAGGCTCTGAGGGGATGGCTGAGACCCTCATACCCCCACCCCATTTCCTGCCGCTCTCAGAGTGAATGACAGCTTTTGAGCACAGATTTTTTAGCAGGTGTATGATTTATCAGGTCGAAACCGTTTAACTTTTAACTGATTTTTAACCACCTGGCTAAGGTTGGCGTGGGAATCTGATTCGCCGCCGCCGTAAAAACTACAACTCCCAGAAGGCTCCGCGGCGCCGCGCCGCTCCTTACTTCCGTGTGCCCCGCCCTCCTCGCTTTCTATTGGATGGCATCCCGCCGTCCTCGCCTATGATTGGCTGCACGCGTGTCTGCGCCGTGTTTGAGGGGGCGCAAGATGGCGGCGGGAGACGCGGTTGGGAGGTACCGCGGCACGGTGGGCAGGAGCAAGGACCCCTCGGGGCTGCTTATCTCGGTTATCAGGTAGGGGCGGCCCCGCTCCGCATCCTCCGGGCCTCTGGGGGTGACCCAGAGCCGGGCGCGGGCCCTGCTGTGCTGGGGAGGCCTGCCCGGCTCGGGCCGCCGGGTGTAGGGTTCTTCCTGGGGCATTGGGTGACTCTAAGCTTGGGTCCTCGATGGTCATGGAGCGCTGGGGAGGCTGCAGTGCTGGAGAAAACCTTGTCCTGAGAGGAGAAAACCCTGTCCCGCTGCCCTGCCCGGCTCACTTCCTCCTGCTCCCAGTGCTTTGCTTCATCCTGGGGTCAGGGCGACCTGGACAGGCTGGATGGAGGGGCCGAGACCAGCGGGGTGAGGCTCAACAAGGCCAAGTGCCAGCTCCTGTGTTTTGGCCATAATAATCCCCTGCACTGCTCCGGGTGGGGCAGAGGAGCTGGGAATTTGTGCAGTAGAACAGGACCTGGGGTTGCTGCTCGACACGAGCCCAGGTGGGCAAGAAGGACAATGGCACCTGGTCTGTGTCACAAACAGTGTGGCCACAGGACTGGAGAAGTTATTTTCAGCTGTACTGGGCACTGATGAGGCCGCACCTCGAGTGCTGTGTCCAGTTCTGGACTCCTCAGTTCAGGAAGGACATTGAGGAGCTGGAGGGTGTCCAGGGAATGGAGCTGGGAAGGGTCTGGAGAACCAGGAACAGCTGAGGGAGCTGGGAAGGGGCTGAGCCTGGAGAAAAGGAGGCTCAGGGGGGACCTTGTGGCTCTGCACAACTCCCTGACAGGAGGGGACAGCCGAGGGGATTTGGGATCTGCTCCCAGGGAACAGGGACAGGAGGAGAGGGAACGGCCTCAGGGTAGACACCAGGAGGAATTTCTACACAAGAAGAGTCTTCAAACACTGTAGGGTCTCCATCACTCCAGGGGCAGTGCTGGAGTCTCCATCCCTGGTGGTTTTGAAGAAAATCCAGGACGTTGCTCTGATGTAGGTGACAAAGTGAGGCTCTGTCACAAGTGGGACTCGATGGTCTTGGAGATCTTTTCCAAACACATTGATACTGTGAATAAACCCTGCAGGTAGTACCAGCTTAATGCCATGTGTGAAAGCCAAGGCACTGCCACGTTATTGCTGTGGAGTCCATAAGTGACCTCCACCCTGAAACACTTTACTCAAACATTTTCCTCAACGAGTAAAATTCACCTGCCTGGACGTGTGGAGGACCAGGAAGTCCAGTGGGTGGACTCCATCCTGGATGGGAATGCCAGAGGGGACAAAGTGCTGCTGTTTCCAAGCCTGTTTGTTGGGATTGAAAAAGAAAGAGTCGTGTCCAGGCACGTTTAGACATTGATTTTTGTCTGCCCATGTTCCTGAACATATTTCTGTGATACACTTGGATGTGAATTCACTGTTTCCCCCCCACCAAGGACTTTAACTGCTTGCAAATCTTTCCTGTGCTGCTTAAAACCAGTGAATTGGCAGCTGATTGCCCACACTGAAGGTTTTGAATGTTCTTACATGTTTTGAATGTTTTTACACAGTGGGTGTGGGCAGCTGCAGTCACACCAGCAGGATGCTGACAGTTGTAATGAGCTCCCAAACTTTAGATCCTACTCCAGTGTCTTGGAGAGAAATTCTATTTGGAGAAGTTATTGCAGCACTAGTTCTGTATCTAGGGCATGTTATGATTTAAATGTCCTCTGTGAATGAAAATGTTTAGGATAAGATTCCATTCTTTTTCATCACTCTGGCCTTAAAATCTTGCAAATCTTGAGGGACATGTTGATTCTCTAAGAAAAAAAAAAAATGCAGCTGGTGCCACTGTCTGTGGAAGAATAATAAACATACACTGGTTGTGCAGCATTTCCTGTTATAATCATCTTTTTTCCATGTTTCCTGTAATTTCCAAGAGTATTTTAAGGTCTTTCTTGTGTACCTCTATTTTAATAAATCCAGGCTTATTAAATTTATTTAAAAACAGAAGAGTGAGCTCACAGTGCTCTGTTCTCCAAATAAAAAGAAATGTTTGTCTCATAATCTTTGGCTTCTAGGCACTGATACCTTGGCTAGTTTAGGCCCAGTGTTTTGACACAACATCGAGTTATTGACTTTAAGAAATTAAAGTTATTCAATAGAACAGCCTGATAACTAAACTTCCAGAATTTAATTCGAACTTGGTTTGGATGTAGAGATTCTCTGCAGAGCTTGACATGTCAGGTTGAGCCAGACCATGAAAACCTGAGGGTAGAACTGATTACAAAAGAAGGAAAAAGTGTTGTGGTAATAATATGGATGTTTCTTAGGCTTAACCAAGTGCAGAAAGCAAATGGTGTGAAAAGGAATTTAAATCACTTTTCTCTCTGCGTTGGTTTTGTGTAGGAGCTCAGGTGAGGATGAACTTGCCAAGCAACAGGTGAATTTTTTAGAGGTTTGTATGGTCATAAAATACCACTGCAGACAAGTTAAAACCTGGCTGGTTTAAATGTAATTTTACTCAGCTTCAGAAAAATATTCCAAATCTGAACAGAGAGCTGTTGGTTTGAAATGTGACTGAGTTTCCTTTTGTTGATGGATTTATTTCCAAAACAATTATGCATAATAGAGGCTTCTGCCAATCCTTGTGGTTTTACACTTGTGTGTCCTGTTTATTTAGGCTGGTTATTTCTCCCTTGTTGCAGTGTGAAAAGTCCATAAAGGGAACAGTGGATGAAAAACAGCAAAACTTTGTCTTTTTCTGCTGTAAACAAACAAAACCAGTGGAGCTTCTTCAAGTATTGATGTTTTACTTGGTTATAACAAAGACAGGGATGTTTTCCAAAAAACCAACATTGTTTAGGTCTGCAAAATCTCTTCATGTTGTCTGTGAAATGCTTTGAAGTGTGAAGCTGAAAGGCTTTCTGTAAATAGAAATTATTTTATTAATGAAGGGATAATTTCTGATATTTACTCGAGCTCAGCAGCTCTCACTCACAAGAGACTGAATAATTGACTTTTCTGTGATCCCAGATTTAGGGATTCTTGTAGTTTTGTGACTGGACTTCCCAGGGGGCAAGATCCATGACAAAGTTTACCTTGCATAGCAGCACTGAAATCCAGTCAGAAATGGAATTTTATGGGGTCTGAAGCTCTGCTTTGGGAATTTCAAGTTATCCCTGCTCTCTGTGGTGTTGCTTTTCATTAGCTCTGAGATGAAGGAAAACCCAACAGGAAAGAATGTCCCACTTGTGATTCCTGTCTGTCCCTGGGAAGTGTCACCGTTTCCTGTTGTGTCAGGGAACACATTTGTTCTTTGGGAGTTGTTTCCTGTAGGAGGATCCCTGCACTCGTGGAATTCACCTTGGTTTTCTGGTTGTTGCCAAGAATAAAGATTAAAGGCAGCCTCAAGGATGGATTAATTTGGAAGAATGTTCCATGAGCACTGTCAGGAGTGAGGCATGTGCAGCTGTCCCAGGACAGAACTGATCCATCCCAAAAGAGCCCGGAGCTTCCAGGGAATTCCCAAATTTAAGAAGGTGCAATTCCACCCCCAGCAGTGCTGGGGTCACACTGAGTTCTTGGCCAGCTCCCCTCTTGTTTCTCCCAAAGGAGAAATAAAGGGATTGTCCACAACAAGAAATTTTTTGGAAGTAAAGAGTGTCTGGAAAGCTTCACGAGTGTTTGCAAAGTCTGCCCTTAAATTCCCATTTTTGCTGCAGCTCCAGGGAGCTTTCCTTCTTTTTTTCCCTGTACCTTTACAGCTCTTGGGAGTATCTTCAGTTTGTTCTTCTCCTCAGAGTGCTGAGAAGAAATGACCATCATTTGCTACAAGAAAAACAGCTCCTGGAATTGTGACTTTCAGAGTGGATATTGGATATCAGGGCTTTACAGCTTCTATCCCTGTGCTCATTCCTCAGCACACCCACCTCCAAAACCTGCTCATTCCTTCGTGCATGAGAAAGATCCCTCAAGTTCCTTAAATAAAAGGTACTTTGTAAGAGGACAAGATGCTGTCACAGGAGACCAGGGGTTTTGGCAATGTCTTTTTAAAAGCCATGCAGATAAGGAGCAAATTTGGCTCACCTGCTGGAGGACAACTCGGGGAATATTTTCTTTTATCACTCAGAGGACAAACACGTGTTTGTATATTGATTTTTCTTAACCTTTTGTTTTGTTGCTAGCTGGTTGAAACAGCTTTTGTATTCTGAAACAAGCAACCTGGCATTTAGCAAATGGTTTTTTGTTTAAGTGAGAGAGATCTTGTCAGATTTTTAATTGGTGAATGTGTCTGCCTTTTATTTATTGTTGGGCGTTTTTCTTCCCAATTAAAGGTTGCTATTTTTTAAAACTGGCCTTTAATAGCTTCTTTAATTGGGGGAAAACAAACTTTAGCAGTGACTCTGTAAGACCTCAGTGAAATTTTTGTGCTGAGCTTTCACAGAAACAGAAGTACCCAACAGATCTCTGCAGAAGTTGAGATGGCAGGCAAAAAAACCTTGAATATACTTTTTTTTTTTTTTTTTACAAGTGGGTTTCTTTTTCTTTAATACTTGTGGCCATTATTTTCATGATGAGTGAGCTTGCTGAATGGATTTTTGCTAATGACCTGGCATTTGTTCTTCTCTTTGTGTCTAAAATAGCAGAGCTGAGATCCCAGTTTGTGATGGAGAGTGAGGAACAGGCACGTGGAGCTGTTGCCCTCATCATTGCGTTTGAGAAATAGCTGCTACAAGGAATAAACTCGAGTTATTCTGATCTGTAATGGTCTCTTAAAACCACTTTTATTGCAAATGGTGTTTTCCAGTGTTATAAAGGTAGCAGTTCTTCTGCGAGGAAAGTACTTGAGAAATTCCCTGAAAATAAATTGTATATGGCAGAGTGTGGTTGTAAACTATAAATTTCCTTGAAATGATCTCCAGGCACTTGTATAAAATGTTTAGGTATTAGGCAACTGCTGGGTTGTAGCTCAATACAGACCCTTGGTTGCATTTAAAAATGTGTAAAGGAGCGATGTGAATACACAACCACATAGAAAAGGACAAGAGGTGTGACTGTGCCAA